GTATAGAATTAAGTCATAAGTCTCCGTTTTGTACACTTACGTTTTAATTTTATACACTTAAGTCTATACTTAGTTAAGTCGACCACTTAACAATTTTTATGAAACATCCTCTAGAAATAGAATATTATTTCTATAATTCTGAAACGCGTTTAATATCTCATCAGCAAATGAAGCATGAATTCTTTCTCTACTTTATTTTTGTTCATATTAATACCTTGCGTTTTCAGATCATCTCAATTCATCTTCAGAATTATAGTTAATCATCCGTAAAATTTCGTTGAACAACCTAAATCGGACAGTTATAATAACCATATTGACTATGACTATTAATGTTTCATACGTTAAATATGAGTGAAATGTGTGTGTTTTCGTAAATGCACAACATTATGGAAACTGAGAGAATAGAAGAGCAGAAACTAAGCAAAGTGCAAAATCACGTTTACGTAGTTAATAAAATAAAACTCAACTAGATCAAAAAGCTTGAGTCAAGACCTTGATTAAAACTTGAAAGATTCCTCAAATTTGTGTTCAATTACTTCATGCTCTTCCGCAAGTTTTTGGACATCTGTCAAGATCTTGAGATCATCTTGCAGTTCAAGATTTCGACAATTTTTGTTACAGAATGTCTAAAAAAAACTTGAACAAGATTTGTAACTATCTCTAAGAAATTAATTAATTAACTATAGATAATTAAATTATATTATATTATATTATATTATAGATAATTAAAACTATAGATGATTAATTAACTATAGTTTGACAGATTTTCGATATCTGCACAGAGTCTTGCGAAAATCTTCAATAGTTTTTTGAGTTCTTAAGGTATTGGGTGCTCCCAAACAGGTCCGCCCACTTTATACAGAGTTTCCTGCCACGAAAATTTCACTTGCCCCATCGTATAGAGCATCAAAAATAACCTAAAGGTCTTGCTAACGCTTTTTTGAAAAAGCATGTGGAAAGTGGTTTTCCAGACACCTCAAGCTTTGGGTGAGGGTGAAACCGAAGTCGATGAAAACGGACGAAACATTGCATAATTATACATCAAATTGTAGCTCTTGATGAGCTGAGTCTGAGTCGCCCATACAACTACCCTCGGCAATTCGATGTATTTCAACGTTTTTTGAGGCTTCTTTGTGTTTCCATACCACAGTTTTCTAAGAGGATTTCTGGAAAACTTCATCTACAATTTGATGTATAATTATGCAATGTTTGTTCATTTTCACCCTCAGTTTTCT